AAAAAAAAAATAGTAGGAGGTCAGCACGGGTCTGGAAAGCAGGCACCAGCGCGCCGCATCACGCGTGACTGTCACTTTCCGAGGGTTTGGCGGTGTGGCCAAGAAAAGCCACTTGCCACTGTTTGGGGGTGCGGGCAGGCTATTGGGGTGCGCTCTTGACATTCAGGCCGCAGCCCCGGGTCCTCCTCTGCAGGCGGCTCTGACCCCCCCCCCCCCCCCCCAGTGCTCCGTGAAGATGGGCTGGCGGCTCGGCGCCCGTTTTCTGTCATGCCCGGTGGAGATGTCCCATCACGCGCCCTGGGGGACGCCTGCAGGGCGCTCATGAACCGCGCTCCGACGGTGTCGTCCGAAGGTTGAACATTCCCACGGGGATGATGGCACAGCTTCTAAGAGGAACTGTTTTCCCTCCTCTTCCATCCCCGAAGCTCCTGCAGCAGCAGTTCATGGCTACCGAAGTGACCGCTGCAACACCCCGTTTCCCAACGACACGCCTTCCCCCCCAGACCCCCTTCAGATCGTGGCCTTCAGCGGTTGAACTTCTCATTCGTAAACATGCCATTCAAAAATGCAGAGTGAAAACGACGGGGGCCTTTTTAAGAGGTGGCTGTGTGTGATGCAAGAATGAAGGGTCAGTCCGATTGCAATTGCTTTGCCGTGGTAGGACTGGGAGATGATTTTAGAGGGGACGCGGCAGGTTCTTTCTCCAACCAGGAGAATAAAGAGGAGGTGCGGGGTCGGCTGACGGGTGCGGGGGGTCCAGGACACAGGTGTGAGACAGGTGGGCTGGTGGTTAGGCACCTGCTCTCAGGAGCCGGGCCTGGGGCCCAATCCCAGCTCTGGGACTTACCGGCCACACGTCCTTGCTCATCCTCTCTCTGTGCCTCAGTGTCCTCATCTGTTAAATAGAGATAAGAGTAGCACCTATCTAGTAGTCAAGTCGTTTTGTAGAAGAAGGAGTTCATACGGTGTGACCGGCTTAGAGGAGTGCCTGGCAGGGCACAGGGAAGGTCCGGGTAAGGGCCTGTTCTATTAGGTGTGTCGATAGCAGCGTATAAACGAGGTAGCTTGGGATACTCTCTAAGAAGAACACGTTGGCTCTCTTTTAAGTAAGCTCAGAACTGTCAATAACTAGCAAACACATGCTTTTAAAGCCCAACTACATCTTATCAAGGGGCTGTGGTCAGGCCAAGGATAAAGCTTTTTATGTCTGAAATTGCCACAGATGAAAGAAAGTAAATGCTTTCCTGAGCACTGAGAGGAAAGACAGACTTAAGCAAGTCCGTGATTGGTATTCGTAGCTTAGTGGAAGAAGTACTACTTTACACCGCCGTACTTTCTTTCAGCATTGCTGTATACACTTTGAAGTCAGTGTGTTTTATGCAGAGCCCACACACATCCATTCTCTGGCCCTAGAAAGACTGGCCTTGGCATCGGGACCACAGAAGCGGTTTGGCCAGGCTGTGCTGTGAGGCGTGAGAAGGGTCAAGATGGGCAGTGAAAACAGCATTACCCAGGCACGTGCAGGCCATGGAAGACCAACCTCATGAAATAGAGGACATTTACTGGGAAGTGGACTCAAACGACCTCGTTCATCAGGAATCAAGAAATAGTTCAAGCTATGGGCTCATGACACATTTGCACTCATGATACGGGCTCAGAAGTCAAGAGCTGTTGCTGAAACATAACCCATTTGTACTTCCAACCTGAGCACACTTGCCGCCGAGGAGGAGGCGTGCTTGTAAGCCAACGAATCGTCCAGACAGTCCGATTTAACACATCATCATTTAAAACATTCCATCATTCAGGCAGTATGTATTTATTATGCCCGCTATGTGCCGGGCCTTGTTCTTAGCGCTGGGGTGCAGCAGGGAACAAAGTAACTCTCATGGGGGAGGGGAACAGACAATAACCAGGGAAAATTAGCAAACTGCATGATTCCACAGATGCAATACATGCGATCGAGATAATAAAGTGTATGTATGTGTGGGGGGGTAGGGTTACAGAGTGCTGGAGGTGTGATATAAGGAAATAAATATTGATATTTAGTATATTTAATTACAATGATATTTTACTTACAATTATTTACAATTTTACTTATTCATAATGCAATGCATTATTCTATGCTATCTATAATTAATAATACAAATATATTAAAGTGTATGGAGTGTAATGTGAAATTTGAATGAAAACTTGCAGCAGTGGCAGCTTCAGGCGTTGTAACGGACTCCATCTTCCTCCCTTGGTAGGATCCGTTCTCTCCTGTCTCCTGCAAACCTTGGCTACTCGGTTTGGGAAGTGCTGAGGAGAACCAAGAATGCACTTTGGAGTAAGTACGCTCCCTACCCACAGAGCAACTGGCTGCCTCAACCAGGTTTCTTCTGACTCTATCTTCTGATCCTTAAGCCTTTGAGCTCTGAGCCCCAAAGATACCCCATGCTTGTTTTTTGTTTTTTTGTTGTTGTTGTTTTTTTGCATGAACTGAGAAATTGTACAAAGAAAACCAGGCTCACTTTGACCATTTGTTCAATTGTTTTTAAATTCAAGATTCAGAAAAATAATCATCACACTCCCCAAATCGCGAGGTGTCAATGACCATAACCAGGAAAAGACAACAAACTCTAACCCACTAGCAATAGCCCTTTTATGTCCTTGAGAGGGGTGGGGGTGGGGCCTTTAAAACGAAAAGTAAAATCCTGCCCTTTACACAGGTTATTATAAAAAGTATGATTAGCTGAGTTTTTCCACACTTCCGGGAAACTTAAAAATGACTTCAGATGATGACTGTCATCCCACCACATGAAAAATCGATTAAGGCTAAGAAATCACTCGTCTATGACAGACTTCAGGCCCAGAGCCTATGTAAGTTAAGCATAAACCTCCACCCAGATAACTGTTTCTTCCATGAGCAATTAACTTCAACCTTCTTTAACAAGACAGTGTGCTTTCAACACAGTCCTTTAAAATACTTCCCAGGGACTTAGATTCTTTTGTTTTTGTAATTCTATCATTTTTATACTCTGGGAATGACTAGTCACATGACACTAGTTAAGTGCCCAAATCTCTGCAAGGTTCAGAACTCTAAAATGAATGAGTTGCACTCTTTAAGGTCTTGCAACTGTTGAGCTCCATGATAGAAAATATTGCCCAAAAGTATGTTTTAAGATTAAGCCATTATTAAAATCCACAGATGGAGTCTAATGTGTGTGCCTGCAAATGTAGGTACACATGCTTATTTATAGATATCTCTTCTAAGCCAATCTAAGGTGCTGTGTCTTAGGACTGCCATTCCGCTCCTAGGATTATAACATCACCTTTGATTTCATTGGCCCTCCCTGCTCTGCCAGGAATGCAAAAATTATGAAATTAGGCATACGCTTGCTACCATCTTATTTTGCTAGTTATCTCTTCGGTAATAAGATGTTCTAATGGCTCTAAAGCAAGTAGTTGGTATTTTATATTATTTGCATTAATGTCCCTTTCTATAAAGTGAGAATTGCTTCAGTCCAAGATGCGTGTATATTTACGTCCTACTGATGGTATTTTCATCTCTCTGAAGCTTTTCTCTGATCTCCCTTTTCCTATAGCTTTTTTTCATCCAGGACCTTCTGGTACAAGTAACCAAAATCCTACTCACCCTAAAGAAAAAAGAGGGGAAGGGAATTATCAGCTTCGGTAACTCAGTCACAGGTGGGCCTGAGCTTGGGGAAGATTGGATCCAGGGCCCATGTGATGTGTGGCCCCCTGTCTCTGTCTCTGAGTGTGTGTGTCACTTGTTGCACATTGTGGTCAGCTCGAGCCAGGGCTATAGGCAGTCCTGGCCACACACCTGTCACCCTTGTGACCAGGGACAAGCGGGGAGGGATCCTTTATCTCCCGTAGCAGCTAAGGAAACCCCAGAGAAGGTCTCTGGCTGGCCCCATCTGGATCACAAGCCTACATCAGTGGCCAAGGCTGGACTGCTGCGATTGGCTGCCTTCAACCTACATGGTTAAAGAGGAAGAGGATGGATACTGTTCGAGGCAGAAGAACATAAAAGGTGTTATAAATATAACCAACACAATCTAAAATCTGAAACATACAAACAATTTCAAGGGGATAAAGAATCGCATCTAATCTCTCTACCCAAAGACAACCACTGTTATTGTTT